TCCGGCGCCCGCCCTGGCCACTCCCTGCCCCCCGCAATGCCAGCGAGCCACTAGGGAGGGGTTGGACCACTTCCCAGGCTGGGACACAAAGGCTCAAATGGCCACACGGCATGGGGGCTGGAAATAACCACTGTTCTTCCCCTCTCTGTGCCAGGGGAGGAAATTGAGGCTGACACCAGGGAGAGATTTTGGTCAAAAATTGTCCCCATACTTACCCCTGTTCCACTCCAAGATTCCCCTCCAGCCTGAGAGCGTGGTGGCCCATTGTTCACTCAGGGAAACGGTCAGGATTTGCCTCCGTGGTCACGCAGCAGCACCTCCCACCTCCAAAAAGTGGTGTCTATCCGTACCCACCCACCTGCGTGTGCTTTAACGTGTGTGCACCCTGGGAAATTAGACAGGTGTGTCTGATGGGAATCCAGAGGATAGATCTCAAGTTCCCTAGCTGTGGGCAGGCAACTTAAACCAGAGAACTCCTCTTCACTCTTCAAGACCCAGTGCCAAATGCCACTGCTCTGAAAGATGTTCCCTCTTGTCACCCAGAAAGATGAACCATCCCCACCCCACTTAAGCTCACTCTGCCCACCTGGACTCCATCACACGCTGCCATCACGTTGCTTGAGTAACTGTTCATAGAGACACTTGGTTATATCACTGTCCACTGCTCCAGAACTTTCTATAGCTCCCTGCCACCTACCAATCCCCAAGCTTGTGTTCTCTGGGCCTCCCCACCTTAAATGACCCAGGTCCTTGTGGTCCTGGCACACAGCAGGCGTTCAATAAATGCGGGATGAATCAGGGCCAGCAGCACTCCACGTGGCTCTCATCCAGGATGGGTGTGGGTGGAGGACTGAGAAAATGGGGGTGTCTTCCAGACCCTTCTGGATGCAGAACAGCCTCCCAGCATAGAACATTCCAGCTCTAGTGAATAAATCTACCCTTGGCTCATTTTCTCACACGAAAACACTTTCTTTTGGAGCCGGTGTTAGAGGGCAAGGAAAAAAACGCCCTTAGATAAGTAAAACTGCAAGTGCCAGCCAGCAATAAGGATTGAAATTTGAGATGACTGTAATGAAAACTGAATTCCAGGTGACCAGGTTACCCCATCCAGTCACCTGGCCAGGTGTCCCAGGAGAGGGAGCATCCCCAAGGGTCCTGGATTCTGGTTCCCTCCCTGCCTGAGGCCACTGTCATGCCAGGGAACACCCGCCTGCCATGACCTAGGTGAGGCTCTGTTAGTGCCCTTAGGTTCCACTGGGCCTCGCCCCACCCTGGGGAACGGTCCCTCCGACTGCATGAGCCTCAGAAATAAGGACCCATCCTGGGTAGCAGACACTTTCTTACCTTCATCAGAGATTCAGGCAGTCAACAAACAGCCTTTTGTGACTC